AATTTTCCTGAGCACTGCTTAGGGTCTTTTAAAGTTCAGTCAAGAAAAGGGTGAAGCAAACTTTCTCAAATTCGGAGCACCGCTGTTACTTTCTATTCGGGCTGGTTTTTTTATTTAGAAGAGTATCCTCACACCAGTCAAAGGGTGAGAGCACGCTTTCCCAAGCTCGGTGCCCCACTGTTACATTCTATTCGAGGTTGGCTGTTTATTAGGAAATCATCCGCACACCAATCACCGCACGATTCTCATACTTGATACTCTGTCTGACGCTATTGGCAAGGAATCCGGGCAGAGTGACCGTTATTTTTTAGAGCGCTCCTAACGTGTTAAGATGACAGTACTGAGGCATCTCCATAGAATCGCAAAGATTTGAATATTTACTCAACATCTCACATGTTTTGAAATCGAAGCAACTCTGAACACGATCTGGAATGTCACTGTTAAGCTGGCAGTTCTTCCGCCGCCATGCAGGTCTAACCTCTTGCCATTGGAAGAACACCTACTCTGCTTCTTAGCGCCCTCCTCGGGAAAATTCTGCTAAGTGACATGAGTTCACAACCGACTTACGATCTTACTTGTATCAGAAGTCCTTGGAATTATAAGAAAAGCAGTGACTTGCTACGTTTGCGTGGGCGTATTTTTTGGATAATGGTTGTGCATGTTTGAGTGGACAAGCGATTCAGAGAAATAATAAAAAATTAAAATCGAGAAAACTGCCGAAGTAATTCACTACTTATGGGACAATCTAATATAACAATCACAGCGATATTTCCGTGCAAATTTCATTTTCAGTATTGTTTGTCCCAGTGGAAAGGTGCAGGGGACAACATCAATAGCAATTTCGCTTTGGCAAATCGTCGCCAAGGTAACATCTGACCTATTCTTCGGGTCAAGCGCAGTCTGGCTTCGTCTGATTCGGAATCACTTGACTATTTACAGGTTCGGGTGGAGTCCTTACTATGGGGTGCCGGTACTGCTCTGGGTGAGCTACCGCCATATTTCATGGCACGAGCAGCTCGTCTAAGCGGTGAGGAACCGGATGATGAAGAATATAAAGAGTTCATACAATTGATGAACGCCAATAAGAAGGGCGGTGCTGACGAATTGGTGGGCGCTTTTATTATGAATTCGTTCTACCATTCACTTTGGTTTTTAATTTGTTAAAACTATTGCTTGCCCTTTAGTCATGGGCAGATCGTGGAAAAGCCTGGATGGAACGATTCATTTCGAGAGTTGGCTTTCCTGGAATTTTGCTTTTCGCGTCGATTCCTAATCCACTCTTTGATCTCGCCGGTGAGTAACGTTTATTTTGATATGATTGAATGCCTGAATTTCTGATATAGTAATGACTCATATGATGATGCAACTGCTTATTGTTTCCACTTGTTTGGTAACAGTAAAAACCCATCTATTTTTGTGACGATAACTGACTATTTACATTCGGTGTATGGTAGATGATTTTAGCAAATTTGTAGGCTTTAAAAAAGCTTAGTAATGGAGTACGTTTAGATGTCGATTGGACCTGGCGATTGTATCAAGTCTGACGGGCATTTTAGTAACGAAAAGACGTCAATATACTAGAATTGAGTAAAAACTATTGGTTTTAGGAATTACGTGTGGTCATTTTCTCGTCCCATTCTGGTCGTTTTTCGGTGCTACACTGATAGGAAAAGCAATTGTGAAGATGCATGTACAGGTTTGTTTTATTTTCAATGATTGATGTGGTACAGGAGATACCCACCATACTTTTACGAAAGGTTAAATCGTCAACTCGAACTTAATTCGACAAATCTCGTAGTATTTGGGTTGAAGGAATTTCTCTTGATGGGTCTCTTACATGACGCCACCCTTTCCCCGACGGTAGTCCCTGAATTTGCCATCACTTGGTGTTCTTCAGCTCTCTCAAATTTTTCCAATTACATCGATCGGGCGGGCGCATACATCTCACCCTGAAAACGAATCTGATGCCTACGTATTTCATTATCGCACAATAGCGAGCCCTCCATTTCGTTTCCTGCACATTCCCTCAACAAGCCAACGCTGTTCCCATTGATTCGAATTGCCTTTGCGGTGTGGTTTCGATTTCATAGAAAGATATATCTATCTGCACTGAACAAATCCCTACAACACTTAGAAAAAATAGTAATAGTTAAACAAATAATCTGTTACAGTGCCCAAGAAGCGCTAGTATGAAAAAGTTTCGCTCTCAGTGGCATTAATTCAACGCTGATAGGTTTTTTTATGTTAGTGCATTATGACAACAATTAACTGTGGTCTACGTTTTTGGGCCTGAGCATTTGTAGCTTACATTAATCCGTTGTCTTCTTGCAGTTGTGGGATGGCTGTAAATACGAGGTATAGGCCATAAGTGTTTGCGAAACAACTGACATTCCCTCGTTCTTTCACTGACATTCGTTTCAAGTGTTTTCCTACGAGACTCGTTTTACGGATCTCCTTCATAAAAGCAGAGCAAAGGGACATCAGCGATCGGAACCACCATTATCCACGGAGCACCTGGTAAAATGTTACAGTGCACTTCTGCCGAAGTTTGTATTACCGTAACCCGCATTCGGTTTTGACGTTGTTTGATCACCTGTTGGCTGTTGCCATTTAGGCGAATGTATACTGTGTGGTGAGAGTTACCGATTGCTGAAATGGATAGGCGGCTTCGAGGGTTTTTCATATAAACAATAAATAAAACTAGAATTGTAATCAATTGGGAAGGAATTGAGTCAGGCTAGCCACTGTGGGGAGAGGGGGTGGGCAGGAAGTGGAAGAGCTTACTTCATTACAAAACACCAGTAAATCTTCCAAAGTGGCATAGGCTAGTTTCGAAGATCACTTTCTTTCAAAGGCTTATAAAGCTTACAGTGTTACTACGGTGTATCTAGCTTCCTTAAATTTCTCTCAGAGCAAGTTTTTTTTTCGTTCTTCTGGAGGAGGTTTTTCGTCCTTTTTTGTGAAAAATAACGGGCAATCAACAATTCATCGAAATAGTCAGTAATATTGGCTGGTCGATCTGTAATGCTGTCATTTATAAAGTCTGGCTTTCAACAGAACTGTGAAAGATGGCTATCTCTCTTTCTGCAGTCTCCCGATTGTTTGGAAATTCGTTTTTGATTTGCACTTAGAGGCGTAGGAATTTTTAGCCACGCATTGGTGAGACCAGAGCTGAACGATGGGTGAAGTGGAACCCTCGGTCGTAACCCTTGTTATTTTTGTCACATAAGGATACATATAGCTGTCCTATCCAAATTTTATGCTAAAGCCTCTGTAATTGCTCATTGGAAACCCACAACAAAATATCCCATGAGCATCCTGAAATGCCATGGGAAAATCTTTTGCTCGTTTCTTCCATGAACCCCGGCTATGCTATTGCCGAAATAGGAAATCCAACCGTTATAAAATGACCTGAAGTTTTTCATGCAGTTGTATTGGATATAACTTCACAGAAGTAAGTAAGTTTGTAGGAGTAGGCAAATCGTTGGCTTAATAGCCCCTAATGAGGAAAACAGTGCTTGAAAAAGCCTAGAGAAACTTATGCGGCAATTTAGAAGTCGCAAGTGAATGAGTTCCTACTAAATTGAAAACTTTCTCACCTCCATACTCATATTTTTATTTGCTTCTTTGATTCTTTTGAGGCCCATTTAGTCTACACATATTTTCATTGTTTCGCTTTACTGAGCTGCCTCCGCAAGAAAATTCATTTGTGAACAGCCTAGATTTCTGAAGTGGATCCTTGGTAAAAAAAAAAGAACTTCGTTTTCTCATCATAGGGGTTTCTCATAATAGGGGCAGGAGTTATTGCAGTAAAATGATAGATTTTGTGGAAACAAAGATGCAAACAAAGAGTTTGAACAAATAGCTGAACCCCTCTTTTAGAGCCAGACTTCCCTCATTTTCGTTGTGTAATTGTGTGCGAGGATCCTTCAAGATGCTTCTTTTGACAAATCCATGTGAGCTGAGGGCTTTTCAAGCGGCGAGCCAGAACGCTTGAAAAGGCTTTGATGAAATCACTGGGGCCGCCACATTGCAAGCAGCGTCGAGAAATGATGTGGAAGGATTCCGCGGCTGACATGGGCGCTGTTATTAGTTTGCGATTGTTTCCGGGCCAATAATTTGGCGCGTAGCGCATGTAATGAGGCGCGATATGCTAATCCTTTCGGCAGAATTCGGCTTGTTTTTGGTGACCAGATTGTTTCGTTCATACGGCAATATAAAATGCATAGTTTTGAAGGGATGCTAATTGCACTCTTGCTAAACGGTATCAAACTTCTGATCCCCTCAGGTGACGTCTCCTTCTACTCCTCAGGGGAACCAACGATTTCGGTGGAGGTCATGCAGTGACTTACGGAGATTGCACGTTGCTGAGGATATTGGTTTTCTCATTTCAGGCAACTACGTGGTCAGGGTCAACCGTCACGCTCGCACTTTCTCAAAAGTTTTGCGACTTCTTTTAGGGGGATGGTCTCGGTGCTACTCCCCTCTACCACCATCAGCCTTAGGAGGCTCCCACAATTTAATCTCTCCCCCCCACTTCGTCGAGCTTATAGGGGATATGAAGAGACAGATACACCTGT